GGTTATCTGATAATTGTCCAAAGGTAAGGGGAGTTTTCTGATATTTTGTATTTTGTCTTAAAATTAATCAATATTTTGATGTTGTCAATCCTAATTTCAAACAAGCCCTTATTGAGTTTTCTTTTCCTGTTGGAACTAACTTTTAGCATATAGATGAGTGAAAAACTATCAATTTCTTCATCCTTAAATATTAATCACTTCACTTAATTAGACAATGAAAATTGAGAAATGAACTTAGTACCTTGGTATGGACTTATTATTCATAAATTTACTCAAAACAAATTCTAGAAAGATTGCGCTTTAGATATAATAATAATGCTTCAACTGTAATGACATCTTCTTACTATTAACAAAAATGGAGAAAGATCCAACTTTAGATCTAATAATAATACTTCGACAGTAATGGCAAAATTTTATACTTTCTTTTTTATGTTTTGATTGGGTGCATAAATGATATATATAGTTTGATCATATTTGCTTATAGATTTATTTCTGTTTCATTCATCTTTGGACTCAGATAAAAATTCTTATTAAGAAATATTTTTCTTTTGAAAATTCAAATGAATGAAATAATTTTTTTGAATAATACATTTAAGAAGCAATAGAAATTTTTATTTGAAATGTAACTGAATAAAGTTTACAACTCAAATGATCTATAATTCATCATATAACGAACTTGGTAAGGATTTCTCTTAGAGATTATCTATGAAATTAAACATTTGTTTTTTTTATTTTTACAATATTTCTTTTTCACTTTAGGTCTTTAAGAGTAATGCTTGCGCATGTTGGCTAGTCTATATTAAAAACTTAGTTAGGGTAGAGAAAGTTTGAAGGACATGGGAAAATTGTCCTTCATCTCACTAAAAGACATGAGGACAATTTGGTCATTGCACTTAAATTTTTTCTTTTCCTTTCTTTTCTCTTTATTTATCTCTAGAACATTCTAAAGCATATAAATATCATAGAACTTACTAATTAAATATCTTTAAATTGTATATTATAAGAAGATATAAATATGAAATGATGAGTTCTTTTCCATGTAAATAAATACAATGAAAACATCAATTAAAATTTTAATATATTCCAATGTAAATATTATCGAAAGTGTATATTTAAATACTTAGTTTAATAATAGTTAAATAAAATAATCTGAACATGAAATATGAAAAGACTACTTTTAATGACATATCTGGGGAAAGTATATCATTACTCAAATTGAAATATAAGTCGTAGCAATTTCGAATAAGGTATTACCAAATATCACATATTAAATTAACAATATCATAAAAAGATCTTAGCAATATCCATGATACTTCGGAGTATTAAAATGACCCTTTTTATATAAAATTAGAATGATTTAAGTTTTAATGTTGGTTGCACGTTCAATAATGCTGGTATTATAGAGAAGGCGCAGGTTACTCACTCAGAATGTTGTCACTCATTATGAAAGTGAATGCTTGTCATGATCAATTAGAAAGTTTCTATTTCTTTGTGGCGAGCTATATCTAGGCAAGCCATTCTATTTTGTTGTACTGATTGGTTCCCTTGATTTGCTCGATACTTTTGAAATACATATAGATTTGATATATTAATCTGAACTTGCTGTTTATTTAAGCTATCCATTTAGTCTAGTTTGTCAAAGTAGTGGTTACCTTCATCTATTCTACATTCATTCCTTTGGTTTCATGTGCATGACATGTGACAGGTGATGTGCAATCCACAGAATATAAAGAAATGAATACTGCACCATGCTGCATATACTGTACTGATAATCAAGAAGACTAAAATTATGAATTGATTTCCTTATTTATCTTGTTCCGCAATATGGGGGCTCTACAGCTACATTCATTCCTATGGTTTTACGTACCTGCAATGTGACAGTAGATGTGCAATATAAGTAAGTGATACTGCAAGTGATGCTCCGTATGCTGATAATCAAGAAGACTAAATTTAGGAATTGCTTTCCTCTATAACTTGTTCCACAAGTGCGGACCCTTTGAGACTGGCCATTACTCATTGCTTTCTTCGTTATACAGCTGCCCTAATCCGTTTTCTTCTTCATTAAAATTGTTTCCTTATAAAGATTAAGGCTGCAGTTATATGCCCAGTGTTAAAGTAAAAAAAATTGTGTTCTATAATTTTTGGTTTTTTCGATATTAGTCCCCCAAATCTAACATATTTTGAATTAGTCCACCAAATCTAACATATTTTGAAATCAGTCCCCCAAATCTTTAAGTTTTTTCAAAGTAGTTCCACAAATCTTCATATTTTGAAATTGATCCCTCAAATCTTATATAAGTATACTGGAAGTAGTGACGCAAATCATTCAAGGAGCTGCTAACTAGGACTGATTTCAAAACATTCAAAAGTTTTGCAGAACTAATTTCAAAATGTCAAGATTTGGGGGATTAATTTCAAAACACTTAAAAGGTTTGTGAGACTAATTTCAATATATCAAGATTTGGGGGACTAATTTCAAAATTTGAAAGATTTGGGGAAGTAATACTGAAAACATTCTATATTTTTAGAGTTACTGTTTTGGACTATTAAAAATGCACGCTGTACTATGTGATTTTTAATTTTATATATTCAGATAAAACACAGGAGATGGATAATTCATTTATTAGTGCTAAGTTATGGAAGGATTAAAGTTGATACTAAATAATTAGTAAGATGAATTAAAAAATTCTTCAAACAATTAGGAAGCTTCAAGGACATCTTTTTTTGTATGAGCATGACCTTCTTTCACTATGGGTAGAGGTACATAGAAGTTTCTGCCTTCAAATTCATGACTACAGCATTCTGTAATTAATAGAGACAAGTGGAAAATATAAGAAAACAATCTGCTAAGAACGATTCCAAGTGGAATCATAATTTTGGATATTAAAATTATGCACTTGGATGGGACTCACTTTGTATTATCAAGAATTTCTGAGCCGTCATTGTTCGATGAATGATGTTTCTTCACAGTGTTAAGTTGATATCCAGAAATTCACCATCATGTTGTAACACTGTTGTACATTAGCATTCTCTATCACGTTTTGTGTATCATAAAATCCAAAGTTGCTCCAAAACTGTAGTGGTTCCTCACATTGTTACGGTGACAACCTAAGGTTTGACCATTATGTTGAAATGCTTGGGCATCAGGTTTTCCTATGCCATTATATATTTTCAGTTCTCAGCCTTAATAGTGGATGTGTTCTTTAACTTTGTCTACCTCTAACAACTTCTACAGAATGTAAAAAAGTTTTCTCCCTCTTAACAATTTCAGAATGGTTAGTTTAATAAAATTGATTCCCTATAGCAATGTTTTAGAATGCGCTAGACGTTTCTAGGCGCCGGACCTAGTGCCTAGGCGCCTAGGTGGACGCTTAAGCGGCACATAGATGTTTTTAATATCGAGAGATGAGGGATCACTTTCGAAGATGTAAATCATATCCTCACCGTTTTACTTGAGATGGACTTGGACATAGAGTTTTGATCTCCATACATTTTAACCTAGCTGGCTCTCTTCAACCATTACTATGCCTAAGTGAGCAATATACCTCTTTCTAACACCATACAGTCCGCATAAGTAGTCTGTTCTCCCCTAGACACTCCTAAGCCTTAGACAGGCGGCCTAGATACCGCTTAGGTTTAAGCGGCTGCCTAGGTGGATGCCCAAATTGCTTTTTGAAACAATGCCCAATAGCTATTTACCACCATTTCTTAGTTATCAGCAAGACTGGCTATTGGATAGTTCTTGACTATTGCATAGTTGATGAACTATCCAGCTTGAAGGACCATTTGTTTTAGTTATGCTCACAAACATACACATTGTTGCTCGCATACCTTCAATTATCATTAAGGCAAATTTAAAAAAAAGGCACAGTGCTTTTATGAATGAAAAAGAAAGTTTGTCTGAGTCGTGTCATTCACTCTAAATCTTTCAATTAAGTTTCATTACTGATGTGAGGGATATGTTCTGCTGACCTCTGTTTATGTAAGTAGTAGGTCACTTCTTTTATGCCATGGTACTCCTGACATAAAACTAAATGCCATATAGGTGCTCAAGCGCCTGAAGCTGACTCTAGAATTAGTTAAGAAAGAGATGGAGCTGAGTAAGCTACAGGTAGCTCAGTTTTCTCTTGTTTGCAAGTTTATTTTATTTTATTTTTCTCCTAAATATTCATGGAAGTTCGGCTCTGTTGATTTTTGGATACAATACTGCAGGAGTCAATTGCAAAAGCAATTGAAGAAAAAGTAACTGGTGAGCATCGGCGTTATTTGTTAAGTGAACAACTTAAAGCTATAAAGAAGGTATACACTCTGCTTCCATTTTTAAAGTTTGTAGAGTTTCATTTGTATACAGAAGCAATAATTGAGCAGTTGTTTTTATCATAAATGAGAATTTAAAACTATAACGACTATTTACTTTCTGTTTCTATCTCTCGAGTTAGCATACATTATCTGTTGAAAATAAACTTTGGAACCAGACTTAATAAGCAGTTTTTTTCTGCCCAATAGCAGGAAGTAAATATCCAGTTTTCAAATTCTGTCATAGTGATACTCGTCTTCTTGTAACATAAAGACAGACATCTGATGCATAGAGAATTTCTTTGTGGAGACTTATGCAACATTTCATGCTAAAGTAATTGATATACGAGAATGTTGCCTTGTAGCTTTGCAGAAATTTGACCATTTCCCTATGTGCAGGAGTTAGGTATAGAGACAGATGACAAAACAGCACTTTCTGGTTAGTTCTGCAGCTTATATTTGTTAGTATAATATGGCAATTAACACCTTATTGTGATGAACATATGTTATAGCTTGCTTGTTTATTGTTCATGCCGCAGGCAAAATTTAGTAAGGGGAAAGCTTTGAGCGCAACATAAAGAGAACAGTGTCGCTGCCTGCATGTCCGTGAGTTATAGAAGAAGAGCTCACGAAACTGCAGCTTTTGGAGCCTAGTTCTAGCGAGTTTAACGTAACTCGCAATTACCTTGATTGGCTTACTGCATTACCTTGGGGGAACTACAGGTTTACTTGCACTCTTTTACGTATTGATTTGGTGTTCATAGAAAAACTTTTACTTGCAGACCGCAATACTATTGTCATACTTTTTTTGTATGATAATCAGTCAAACCACATTAAACCTTTGATATAGTTAACATCAATGTTTGAAAAAGCTTTTTTGAAACTCGCTTCAAAACTCACTTCACAACTTTTTGAAGTCTAAACGCTTCGAAATTCAAGAGTGAAGCTCTTTATCCATTGGAGCTTACACCTCATCGACCAACGCTCAAATCATATAATTGAAGCGTGCGCTTCACGCTTCATAAAGCGCTTTTCTTTTGAAGCACACGCTTCAGACAAGATGGGAGTATATTAAGAGAATTTTTGACCAACTTTAAAATGCCCTATGTATCTTCAATATGACCGATGTAAGTGTTATATATATATATATATATATATATATATATATTATATATATATATATTATATATATAATATATGATGAGAGAGAGAGAGAGGAGAGAGAACGATGAGGAGAGAGAGAGAGAGAGAGAGAGAAGATGGGTATGCTTGTACTAGCACGTTATGCTTGGTAGTGAGATGACACAATCCCCTCTCTCATTCAAATGGTTGCATATCCCCATGCACTCCTCAACCCATGTGAATGTGGTCCCTCATTTGAATGGTGGAGGGGATTGTGCCACCTCACTACCAAACACAAAGTTTGTGCTTGGTACCAAGCATACTCATATTTCTTATATATATATATAATATATATATATATATATATTATATAATATATATAGGAGAGGTTCTAAGAAAAACCTTCTAGTCTAAAAACTAAAAACCAATATCATCCAATGGTTAGGATTCAGTCAAACAATCAACAGACACATGCATTAATTACCTCATTAAACACATGCATTAATTACCTCAACGTAGTGAATCCAGATTTACTACAGTGATTCCAGATTTATTACCTCAACGAACACGTCCTTCACTGCTGTGAATCCAGATTTATTACCTCAACGAACACGTTTTTCACTGCAGTGAATCTAGATTCACTACAGTGAATCCGGATTCATTACCTTAACGAACACGTTTTTCACTGCAGTGAATCCAGATTCATTGCAGTGAATCCAGATTTGTGTTCGTTGAGGTAATTAATGCATGTGTCTGTTGACTGTTTGACTGACTCCCAGCTATTAGATTCATCTACATCCAATGGATGATATTGGTTTTTAGTTTTTAGGCTAAGGAGGTTTTTATTAGAATCTCTCCATATATATATTATATATATATATATATATATATATATATAGAGACGAGAGAGAGAGAGAGAGAGAGAGCAAGACTCCTATTCAACTTAAGTTGATGTCACCAAATTTTTTAGCCATACATATATTAATATAAAACACCTTTTTATATAATACATGGATCCCTACGCAATATGAGTGGTTAAAAACTTTGGTGGACACACTCATTTGCGGTATCACTTAAGTTGATAGGAGTTTTTCACCTATATATATATATATATATATATATATATATATATATATATATATATATATATATAAAATCCCTCCACTCAATCAAATGGTTGCATATCCCCATGCATCCTCAACCCATGTGAATGTGGTCCCTCATTTGAATGAGTGGAGAGGGATTGTGCCACCTCACCACCAAGCACAAAATTTGTGCTTGGTACCAAACACACCCATATTTCTTATTTATATATATATTATATATTATATATATATATATATTATGCATGTAGCTTAGTTTATTATGATTCATTTCTATACTTCACATATTTAATTCTTATTTACTAATCAGGAGATGAATGTATACATTTGTAAATTATAATACCAATATATATTATATGTTCATAATTTCTACAAATTTAAAATTAAAATGCTTAAACTTATGAAGCTTACGCCTCACGCTTTGAAGCCTATGTCTCGCTTCATCAAAGGGTCTAGCGCTTCGCTTTGCGCTTCCACTTTTTTAGACATTGGTTAACATGCGCCAAATCTCTGAATGTCTCTCATTTAAAGATTGGAGAATGGAAATTCTTTTTGAAAATTTCACCAGACTGTTACAGAGGTTTTATTTCCTTTAAATTTCTTCCCGATATGTACTTCAAGTCTTGTAATTCACATATATAGGTACTATAAGCTATGTTATATAGTTAAAAGGATATTCTGTAATATCAACTTCAATATTCCTTTGGCATCCAGAAAACGCGGGCAGAGTTCTCAGAAGATAGATTTTGTTGTTCAACTTTACAGTAGCAACCTGAAACCCAACAAGATCACGGCCATCTTTATTCAGAGTTTTTAAAGTTCAACTTTACAATAGTAATCTGAAATCCCACAAGACCACAAACATCTGTATTTCAGCCATGAAGATGGGTAGCACCTTAGTAAGAAGAAGGATGAAGTATAACAGAGGGAGAAATAAGATCAAAAATAGAGTAGTAGTAGATGAGCGTATACAGGAAGCTGCTCCAATTATGTTGGGATCCTTGGTTAAATAATTTTTGTTTTTCTTTCATTATTTTATTTTATTTAAAATTTAATGGAAAAACTCACCCAATCTAAGTGCTAGGTATGGTGAACAGAGGAGAAACAAGGGTAGGATTAGAGGGGCCAGTACAGGCAGGGTAGGGGTTGCGGCAGGGAGAGCGACAACAAGCAGTGGGAAGTGGGGAAGCAGATTAGTTAAGAGGGTTATTTATTGTTGGGTGGGTACGTTGGTGATGCCCTCAGGGCGCCAGTGCACAAGGCTTGGGATGGTAGATGGTGGTGGATGTTTGGTTGGGTTGATTGTTTGGTTTTTATTGGGTTGACTTTATTAAATGAAAAGATCACACGATTCTTTCATAACCTTGTTTGTTATATCTTGCTCCAAATTGCGGATGCATCATTGATTGAGTAAGAGTTTTGAATAGGCATGATCTTTTGTCTCGTACTATTCCTAGTCTAGAGGATTTATATTTTAATACATTTGTCCATTTCCTAATGCAGTGAAATTTTAACAGCTGATACTGATTCTTTCTGATTTGCATCATTTGCAGTGATGAAAATTTCGATGTCCATCATGCTCAAAAGATTTTAGATGAGGACCATTATGGTTTATCCGATGTAAAAGAGAGGATATTAGAATTTATAGCAGTTGGAAAACTAAGAGGGACCACACATGGTTAGTATTTATATTATTTTGCTACTGCCTTGTTGATATTCATTCATCATGTGCATTCTATATGATCATTATTTTTATATATGCTTTGTTTGTTATTACTTCTTTTGTAACAAGCTTTGCTTCAAATTGCTCTCAAGATTTGATCTATCATGACATCATCTACCTAACTGTGCATACATATTTGAATGATTTTCTTTTTAGATTGGATAATTAAGTTAGATAAGCCTTTTGTTAATTATATATTTTAGAATAACGGTTATCCTTGCTATATTAGAGGATTCCTCATTGTTATAGCCTGAGAATTACCAAGTCTCATAAGCTCTTGAGAGTCGGCCACGTGTCATGATTAACTGGCCAAGTCTTATAAATCTAAAAGCTCGACTGGGGTGTAAGCATTGCTGATCTCTCAAGCAGCCCAAGTCTGAGACGAAAAGCGTTATCAAGCCGGAATCTGCTAGAAGAATCAAGTCCAGGACGAAAGGGGTCTTCTACTCGGACTCTCACTAAGGAATGTCTCGATTGACAAGACGACCTATTACCTTTAACAGTGTCATACTTTGCTACCCAGTTAGCATCACACTTAATGCATGACCAGAGTTATTATGACTCTTTGGGCCGAAGTCATACGATGCCAGCATTTCAGCCATTTTGTTATTGTCGCATTAGACGCAAATATGACTGATTCAATTAATTGCAGATATGTGTAAAGTGCTGTTTGTCAGCCGACTGCACCGACCCGATCAAATTACTGACGCGCCCTTAACCAATCCTCTATAAGTAGTGGGCAATCTCCGCTATCCCAAGGTATATAAGAATACTGAGCAATGCCCTAAAGCTAGATTCTGCATTTAACAAATTTGCTTAATCTATCATTGAGTTGAACATCGGAAGGCACGCTGGAGAAATCATCTCCAGTCCTCTAACAAGTGTTATCTGTAAGGAGTACGTGCCCTTCTGATTTTTTAGCCATCAAGGAGGATTAAGGGACCCTAAACTCCTTTAAAAATTCATTTACCCATATAATTGATTTTCTTATAAACAATTTGTCGCCCACCGTGGGGCCCGTTCTTTCCATTTTGAGAAAATGGCTTGATTCCAACCTTCCTATGGTCCTTAATTTACACACTAAGCTTCTAGCTCCGGCTATGTACTCGAGCCCAATTGGATGAATCCACCCAAAGGATAACACAATCTCTTTAGCAGCTGTTCACTTCATTCAATGAACTCTCAACCGTGTTCTTCCCTCTTAGCCTCCTCCTTCGCTTGTCACCCCTTTCCTCAAAGGGCAACATTAGTGATAGGAGCAAGAGGAGCGGGTTAGGGAAACCAACTCCAACCACCGCGACATTAAACCTGCTTTGCTGCCGATTCACAGCAACCTCAGCATCACCTAGAGGCAACAGGCGAAAGCTCAAGCCTCGACCCGAATCAAACCGCATGGCGGATGTCACGAGGTGTAAGACACCTACATGACCTAAACCTCGGTAGCCTGGGTTGGTCCCTCTACAACCAACCTGGTTTTTGGTTATGATTGGACGTTCCACATGGTGGTTGACGTCATTGAATACTGTCAGATGATATCATGAACGCCTCCTGTTTTAAGTTCAAGATGCCTCACAATGAGAAATACAAGGATGAAGGCGACTCGACCGAACATGCACATAATTTCTTTGATCTGATGTGTGTGCAGCATGTGACTGACCCAATCATTTGCAGAGCCTTTCCTATAACCCTCAGCGGCAACACTAATATATGTAATTCTCTAGAGAAGAAATCCATTCATAGCTTCAAATAACTTGGCTAGAATTTTGCGTTCTATTTCTTGGCGGGTACAAATCAGAAGCTCTCATGTTGCAGCTCAAGCAGAATCTTGGTGAAACTCTGAGAGTATTTCAAGAGATTTCAAGCTAAGTGACTTGAGGTGGAATACCCCGGAAACACGGTAGCGATGGCGGCAGTAATCTTAGGTGTAGAAGATGAGAAATTGACTAACTCGCTTATCATGAATCCCGTGGCTGACTTCGATCAACTCATGGCTAGAGCTTGATTACATATGGACACGGAAGGAAGTCGCCTCAATAATAAGGCAGCCCGATAAGAAATTGCCAAGATCGAGTCTTCCAAGAGCAAGAAGGCTGAAGATGATCGACCCGAATCTAAGTCTAGATCTGGCCGAGTCGACAGGAAAGCCCGGAGAAAAGAAACGAGGCTACTAGCGCTTGCCCCCTTCAATGCTTCTCTCTCATAAGTTTGGCATTTGATTAAGAAGGAGGGGGCATCTTACCAAAATCCCCCATAACATGAATTCAAACCCTTGTACGAGGGATCTTCAAAAATATTGTTGCTACCACCAGGATCACGACAATGACACCGATGACTGCAGAATCCTACGCAGACATCGAGGACCTCATTCAAAGAAGGTTGTTGAAGAAACTTCTCCACAACTGCGGCAAGGAGGAGCCCACCCTAAAGAAATCAAAGAGAAGATCTAGGTTAAGATCACCTTGCCCAAATCAAAGAGAAGATCTAGGTTAAGATCACCTTGCCCGAATCATCAAAAGAATCAACCGAAAGAAACTAATGACGAGCACTATCAACACTACTAGTGGCGTGCTAGCAGCTGGATAAATGTCAAATAATGCTTGGAAGAAGTATGCCCGACGAGCCTTTGAGGTGAATCTATGTGAAAAGAAACGCAAGGTGGATCAACCCATCTCCTTTAGCAATGTCGACCTGAAAGGTGTAACAACGCTTCATGAAGATCTCATCATCATCTCCACACAAATCAATAGATTTTGGGTCAAGAGGATCCTGGTGGACACAAGAAGTTTAGCAGACATCCTTCTCATGGACGCCTTCAGTTGGATCGGGATTGACAGACCAGAGTTGCAACCCAGCGAGTCCCTTTATAAGCCTATTAGGGCTCGGCCAGAAGGGTTGATCACCCTGCTTATAGTGGTCGTGACTACCCTCATCAGTCTACTGTCCGAGTTCAATCATTGTAATAGATGTTAGATCAACTTACAATGTCATTCGTGGAGAAAATCCCTAAATGACCTTTAGGTTGTTCCCTTCACCTACTACCAGATGATGAAGTTCCCTACTCCAGAAGGAGTCGACCTTGTGCGGAGTAATCAACGAGAATCCAGATCTTGCTATCTTCCCTCCATGAAGGTAGATGGACTTTTGAGACTGCCAATTGAGAAGGCACAAGCTTACTTGCAGAAAGATGAGAAAAGGGAGCGAACCACTCCTGTAGAAGAATCAGAAGAAATTCGGCTTGACCCCGATGAGACTAAGAAGGTTGAATCGGGTCAGAGTTGATCGAGCCGCACTACTGCCGCAGGGAGGAGCAATCATCACATTCCTTTGCACAAACACGGATGTTTTTTTGTCTGGAGCCTAAGGATATGTCAGGAATCGCCTCATTAGTAATACTTCATGAGTTATCCGTCCACTGACACCATAAGCCGGCCTGATAGAAAAGTTATCTTGGACCTAGGAGCAGTGGGCGACAACAGAAGAAGTTAACTGATTGCTGAAAGTCAATTTCATCTGAGAAGTCTAGTGCCCAAAGTGGCTATCTAATATAGTGTTGGTCAAGAAAGTCAGCGGTAGATGTGTCAGCTTCATTGACCTCAACAAAGCATGTCCTAAAGACAACCACCCCTTTGGATGGACCAACTGGTTGGCGAGAGTGCTAGCGATGAAATGCTCAGCTTCATGGACACCTTCTTAGGTTGTGACCACTGACCAGATAAAGATGACGAAATATGACTAGGAGAAAACCACTTTCGTTATAGATCAGGGTATCTTTTGCTATAATATAATGCCCTTTGATCTTAAGAATGCATAAGCAACTTATTAGAGGTTAATTAACAAGATCTTTAAAAATCAATCTGGTCGCAATGTGGAGGCGTATATGGATGATATCCTGGTGATGTCTATAAAGGCTAACTTCCACATTGCAGATCTTGAAGAAACATTCTCTGTTCTTTGCTGGTGCCAAATGAAGCTCAAGCCTGCAAAGTACATCTTCGGGGTTCAATCGAGCAAGTTTCTCGATTTTATGGTAACCCAACGAGGAATCGAGGTCAACCTATAGAAGATAGCTACCATCGAAGGGATGTCTGAGCCTCGCACGGTGAGCGACATCTAAAAGTTGAACGGAAGAATAGCAGCCTTGAGCTGTTTCCTCTTCAAGTCGGTTGAAAGAAGTCTTCCCTTTTTCAAATTCCTAAAGGGGGCCAAAGTACCTAGAGACGGCATCGGGTGGACACCAGAGTGTAGGAATACCTTCACGGAGCGTAAGATGTATCTAACCTCTTAGCCCTTATTGAGCAAACCTATAGAAGGGGAACCACTCTAGCTCTACCTAGCCATCTCATTAGAGGATATAAGCTTGGTCTTAGTTTGAGAAGAAGAAAATGTCTAGAAGCTTGTGTACTATGTCAGCTGCATCTTAAAGGTGGCTGAACTTAGTTAGATTCTCACCGAGAGAGCTTCCTTCGCTTTCATCAATACATTCAGAAGACTTTGTCTATACTTCTAAGCTCACACAGTAACAGTACAGACCAATCTGCTTTTGAAAAAGGTACTCGGCAATACCACCACATCTGGGCGAATAATCAACTAGTCTATCGAGCTCACTGAATACGATGTCCAATTTGAGTCTAAGACCACCATAAACTTCCGGGTCCTTTCCGACTTCCTGACCGAGTTGTCCGATCTAGACGACCTTCTAGCTAAATAATTGGCTCCTTTCCTTGGTGCTCTATGCCCAATCCAAAAGCTGGTAAAGAAAGCTCGGTCTCAGAAAAGCTATACTCCTAAATTCGTTTTGTTCGAATTCTCTTCATAGTGGTTACGGAAGGTGCACGGATCTTCAGGAGAGTGGCAGTGGAGCACGAGTAGAGTACTGTGCAGCTTTGAGGGACGCATCCATGAGTTCTCATTCGCCTTTGATTTTCCGGCATCAAACAACGAAGCCGAGTATGAAG